AAAAAAAAGGGGGAGAAAAAAAGGGGGAGAAAAAAAAAGGGGGAGAAAAAGGGGGAGAAAAAGGGGGAAAGAACACACTGCATACCCAGCAACATGATTGTGACCCAATAACATACTGATCAGAGCTGCTGTATATTATGCGTGACTGCTAAGCAAACAAACATTCACTACAACAAATTCCAGTGGTTGATACTAACAAAAATCTGAAATAACTGAGATGGAAACTTTTTGGAAAGACAGAGAATAACATTTGGTATTATCCATGCACCAGGACTCCTAGCTATGGAAAATTATTTTGGCCACACAAATATATTTGTTGTTCTGCCCACACAACAAAGAAAAGATGTAAGGAACATTCATGGGAGAATCACAATTCTCACAAGAATTAAAGGTTTTGCAAGATGTAGCATATTTGAAAACTTTGCAGAGACATTTTCAGCTTCATAAAATTAGAGGATCGGTAGCTTAAATTGTACCCATTAAAACAAGATAAACTTTCTTAAAAATGCAAGATAATATTTAATCCTGTTTTGTATATGAAGGTTGCTCCCACTCAAATCTTACACCATATTTATTTGCACAAGTTCTATCATACACTCACATGAACATACCTCTATCAATTCATCTCTCTGTCGAAGGCCCTCCTTAAGCTCATCCAGCTTATGTTGCAGAACACTGCAGGTGTGTTTCTGCCTTTCCAATTCCTATATTAAAAACATCAATTTATATTTATTTCGAGTTACGTAAGAAATTATTGCAATAATTTGAGAAATACTACCTATCAGGCAGTTAAAAAAAAAAAATCAGTAGTCTAGGTAAGTTGCCCAGATACTTACTACGCAGAAGATTTTATTTAATAAACAGTAGAGAGAAAAGATGCCATAAAGACTTAAGCCTAATACTAACAAGAAAAGTTAATCTGAATGTTTTCAACGGTTCTTACTAACTAGTCCAGATTTCTACAGTTTATAATTAAAAAAAAAATACCTTTGACTTCTCTTCATTCTCCCTATAGAACTCTGCTATCTGCTCTTCTTTCTCCTCAATAATATCCTTTAAAGTATCCACTTGGTAAACCAAGTTATTTTTCTCATTGTCTAGTTGAGCATTGGAAACCATAGCTTTCTTGTACTTCTCTTCAACTTCAGCTAGTGAATCCTACAGATAGCAGAAAGGTTTACATTAGTCTAACTTTTGGATGCATTGTCATAATGTCAAAATATCGCCATAATATTAAAGGATGAGATGTTAAGACAACAAAATTATGCAACTATTTTTGTTTCTGAAATATATTCTTTAGAGATACCAAGTCCCACGTTAAGTTCCATTATTCAAGTTAGGTCATACACAACAATGAAAAGTTATCATTACCAAAGCATGAAAAATACAAGCTAATATTCCACTTGCATTTTCTACTCTGTCATATTCACAGCAACTCCCGGGGATACAATAGTCTTATCACAGCTTCACAGTATTGCCAAGGCATTCATAAGAAAACAGTTCAGAATGAGGCAACAAATCTAACAAAAAGAGAACCTGGACAATTAAATCACTAAAAGAGATCAAGAAAATATTTCCAAGAGTAGCTTTAACTTAATTAACATTATTTAAGCAGTGCMCTATTACATTAGATTCAAAGTTTTAAGATAGCCACAGTAATAAGGATTTGCTATTTAAACAGATATTTTATGGGTTTTTTAACTAAGATTTTTTTTAAAATCATGTTAAGATTCACATACTTGATTCTCTACCGAAAGGTGCATATATGCCTTGCTATATAGACTTCTATACAAATCTCCCCCATTTACAATTTTGTCCTAATTTTAGTTACATTTTTTTGTTAGAGCTGTAACAAATGTCAACCATTTCAATAATTAGAACAACTATCACTCCAGGCACTTTTAAGCATGTCATTATTTCAATATACATGATATGGGGCTTGGGACTATATGATCTTTAAGGTCCATTTCAACACCTTAACATTCTATGATTTAAAAATAATAAAAAAATATTTTTAGAGTCCTAATTTTAGAATTGAGAAAAACTATTAAGCCAATCCCTTGACAAAGTAGATCTATGCTCTACTATGAACCACCCTGTACTTCATGTAATCTGTTCCTTGAAGTCATAAGTAGCATTGTCTCAATTTTTAATTATTTGTATTATGACAGTAGAAGCACTAGCACAGGAAGGGCATGAAGCTTGGGTTTCCCAGAAAACAGAACACTAGGACTAAGATATTAAGGATGAAGTTGGCAACAATCTAAATTTTCTGTGAAAATACTGACAACTGCTAAAATTATGCAATCATTWTTGTTTCAGAATTATAGTCATGTATTCTCTTGAGAAATACCAAGTCACARTTCAATTTTCTACAAGAAAAATCAAACTGCTACAAGAAAGACAAACCCTATCTTCAAACCTTGTAAATCTCAGTTTGAGAGAGCTGTCCTTAAAGTATGTATTTTACTTTTTCTAATTTTATAATAATTTTATGTATCTAGACATTTCTATTCCATTCACTGAGTTCTGGAATTTTCTGCTGGAGAAATATAGTTTTTTGAAACCCCAGAAAAAACAGCTACAGATCAGCAGAAACAAAACAGTGTTAAGTTGTGAAAATATAAGAAAAGTACCATTATCATCTGTAAAGTAGTAGAAAACAGCAAAGATGACTTGGGATAAGAAAAAAGAAAAAATGAAAAAATTTAAATATAAGTGCAATGCAAGTAATTCTGAAGATTAAAACCAGAGAAAACCTTTTTTTGTGGTGATGCTGTTAATATGACCAATCCTGTAAAGATTGCCAAAACAAAATGCTAGAGGGCAGCAAACCTAAAGAATTTCAAAGAAAAATCACGTTCACAGTAAAAAAAAAATACTAGGATTATAATGAATGCTATAGTAATTTCACAGGGAGATAAGAAATTTAATAAAAAAATGCAGCTAAGAAAGAAAGTCAGATTTGATTTTTTGCGTGAATGTGGTGACTGGGGTCATGTAGTAATTTAGCATGGCAGAGATCTCTGAATGCCATCTAGTCCAATCTCCTAACTAAAGAGGGCCAACTAGGATCAGGCTGCTCACGCTCATCTCCCTTTTAAATATCTACATAAATCTAGATGGCAGATGGTCAGGTTGCTGGATGACATGCACCAGAGCTTGCTTTCCTTGTGAAAACTCTTTTTTTCTTGAGTTCTAATTGAAATTTCTGCTCTTAAAACTCAAATTTTGTCTGTTGCATATTTCCCTTACAAGACATCTGCCCTCTACTCTCCACAGCCTCCCATCAGACACCCTGAAAACAGCAACAATATTGCCAACCACTCCTCCAAGACTTATCAAAGCCCATTGTCTCAGTCTCTTGCTGTATGCCATGTATTCCAGGACTCCAGCCTTAAAGGCAAGACTGGGTTGGGGTCTAAAAACATTGTRTTAGAATGTCATTAATCAAAAAAGTAATGGCAGGGAGAAAGGAGGGTGAATTTGCAGTTACAAAAGAGGAACAAATTGAATTGGATACTAAAGAGTGAAAATTGCTTCTTGAGAGAGAAGCTGAGCTATGTCTAAGTCTCTGATAGGTTAAAAAAGCTAAAACATTGCAAAGACTTCTTTGCAACTGTCTTCAAGTATTACACACGTTCCCCATAGTTCAAGAATTCCATGCTGTTTCACAAAATCTTCCAGTTTGATTTGAAATAATTTCTGAATCTCTTGAAGGAGGCTGTATGATTTACAAGGATGAAGCAGTGGGAATGGGATGGAATGAAAATAGAAAAGGCTTTACATATAACCTAAAGCTAAGAAGAAATACCACCTTACAACTTCATCAGTAAGGTCAAAGTGCTATAAAAAATTAGCTTGCTTGGCTAGAACAAGATGGTTCAAGCCAACAGACATCAAGAGAGTGCACTGCTAACAGCATAAAAGAGAATTTTTGAGGAAAGAAACAGGATTCCTTTCTGGGTGATGCAAAGAAATATATAAAGAAGCAACACAACTGATCAAACTGAGACAAGAAAAGATTTGAAGACCTGACTAAGACAGAACTACCCATATTAGAGTCCATTCGGCTGACACCCAGCACATTTGTAGCCATGTAAAGCCCAAACTTTTAGCAGCATGGAGGCAACCAGAAAGGCAGTGTGACTACAAATCCCTACTAGTCAACCACCGGTAAAAGCCAACCAACCAACCAACCAACCAAAAACTCCAACATTTAAACACAGTGTAAATGCAAGTCTCCTAGAAACTCTTCTACAACATACACAAGACAAAACTGATCACGTACAAATTGAGAAAAAATCAGCACCTTCCTAATTTTAAAAAAGGCTCCTGACAGGATGTCTGTGGAATGCAAATTAACTTCAGAACATATAATTTGCTATTAGCAATAATATAAAATGCAATTCAATTCTGAAAGCCAAGCATAGATGAAGATCTTACTACTGCACAGTGTGCTCTTTGGTAACTGTAATGGATTACAATAAATAGTAGTCCATTAGCCATGAGTCAGAACAGTAATCATGAGATACTCGTCAACACATAAAGGTGTGAGAGTTAAATCCATTTTGAAAATATGAAATATTACATTACATATCACATTACATTCAATCTATGTCTCATATGTCTATGTCTAATAATCTTGTAATCTACTACTCTTAAAAGTATTTTTAATATTCATATGGCAATATAACGAAAAGAAAACATACTTCATCTGAGCATATTGCTATCAAGTTGAAATTTACCTTTAAAGGTAAGGCTATTCTTTAAAGAGGTAATAATTTTTGCTACACTGAACAGCTCAAATTACAAATGTTCTCCTTACTATATGGTTTAATACATTGTAAAATTGAATACATTCAATGAAGCTGATAAATACATCACTTTTACATGCTTTAGTACAAGAAGCATTCATTCAATTCAGTTTCTACATGGATATAAAACAAATACGGAGTTTTCTTTAGTTTTACATGAAACCATGCACAGTTAGGCAAGAGGAAAGAGAACAGAACWAATATCCTGGAAAAGATTTATAAGCCCCATAGTTTGTTGTATTCCGTTTCTCTTCAACACAAAACAGTGAAAAGTATGGTTACTTTAAATTTACTGCACTGATAATTGTGTGAAAATGTAAAGAAAATGTACAAAAGAAAGGCATACATACTAGTTTAAACAAGTCAAAATACAGATAAATCTCATGTGGAAAACTACATACTGTACAGATAGTTCAGTGCGCTGCTGTAGTGGGGGGAAATGGCTGGAGTCCCCAGCAAGAGCAGTGATCTGGTACTGATCCTTTGTACAACAAAGGACATGGGGACCTTGGCACCAACCAGGTGTCCGGCCACTGAGAGATACGGTGGGAGCTGATGACTTAACAGGAAAACCCCAGACTACTCTGTGCATGGACTGTGAGGATACAAAAGTCCACGGATTGCTTGGTTCTGGGTCCCTCCTCGGCAGCACCCAGTTTGATCTCGAGCTGGTTTTGTATGACTGTGCCATGACTAAAGTACTTAAAGAAATCAAACACCCAAGACTCTATAATGGGAAACCTGTGGCCAAGCCTGTAAGGAAACCTTGACTAACAATGTGAGAATGCTGTGTGTAGCCAGTCTAGCGCAACATCCATTGAATCACTGGATGACTAACTGGGGTGTTTCAGCCTCAGCAATGAAAGTCTGAGGTGGTGGGAATGTGACCACCACAGCAGATGCTGGATTGCCAGACAGGGAAGTTTTCTTAGCACTCATTAGCCTAATGCTGATAAAATCAACCTGTGATTGAGAAAAAATAATAGGAATATCAACCATAAGCATAAATAAAAATTCTTTTTTAATGCAAGTAATTAAAACAAAACTAATTTTCTCCTGCAAGCAATATGACTGCCCAAATTAATTGCTGCATACCTTCCAAAATTTTTACTTTGGTTTTGCTTTATAACATGAGGTATTTGCTGAAACTTGGAAGACTAAACCTTAAGTTCTTTGCCCCATATATATATATATATATATATCAAAGTTTAATACTTTTTAAACATTAATTAAATTATGAACATACACAATCTCATGGACATTTTAAGCTGATGCTCTTCATGCAATAAAAGTTAGATACATGCTTTAAAGAAATGAAAAAATTTGTTAGTGAAGCCACTATACATTAGTGAAACTGGTGATTAACTCCATTACCCAAAAACACCCATTCATAATGCATGCTTGGGAGAAGCCCTGATACCTTTAATTCTTTAAGTCCCTGCATGTATCTCCCTTCTACATCATGTATCTGGTCCTTAAGATCATAGATATCCTGTAGGACATAGGAATGAACCATTGCATAAGAAGTATGAGGAAATAATTTAAAAGTCAAAAAAACATTAGAAGGTTTACATGCCTTTCTGTCAAATGAAAAAGCCTGTACCAATTCCCAGAAATTATAATTAATTCACAAAAATTTGATGAAAATTAAGGTTTTGTTTATAACCCTGAATCTAAGCCATCTCAAACAGGACAGAATTGTTCGAAATTCAACATAAAACAGTATCATCTMTTAAAAAGCAAAACTCTTAAACCATAATTATGAACACAAATATACCAAGATAAATTACYAAAAAAGTAAAGAAATCCATCATGATTGAAAATTACATCCTCATAACATTTTATTATTACAGAAGTTCTGTGTTAAAAAACAATCTTCCTACTTAAACTACATCCAAATTCTCTGAAAATACAATTTACCCGTAATTCACTAAGGGAGGCATCAGGATCCACCAAACTACTTGCATCTCCACTTCCTCTCCTAGATGAGTTGCCACTCAGAGTTACTGAATTTCGAGATGAGGGCTTAAAAAACAGAAAAACATTGTATCAGGAATCATATGGTCATCTCTGGTATACTTGACAATATTCTTTATAAATTCCTTCATAGTCAAAGAACAGTTGCAGGTCTTTTTTTTCTTAATATTAGCGCACAGACAGTATTTTCATTTATTTTCCAGTACTTGTGTTTCTTCTTGGTAAAATGTTGGTTTCTTGTTGATGACATAGTGTATCAGAACATTAGAATTTTGAGTCATCTGTCCAGAAGGCCTTCATAAGATGGCTATTATGCTGAAATACTACAGACATTTACATTACTAAAAATTATAAATTTCTGCCATCCCGAATTCAGAAGAAAGTCTACAGTGAGAATCTACTGTATGGATTTTTATAGACTTAGTTTCCTAAAATTTAGCCTTTCCTGATATGTATTTCTCATATGAAAAATAAATTGCATAAAAATTACTGGCCAAAAGTAAACTAAAGAATAAATTTTATTCTTCAAGAAATAAAAGACACATAGCATTAATTTAGGGTGATAAAAAGTATATCTGAAAACATCTTTGCAAGGTAACCCTGATGAAAAATATGCAGTATTTTTACTTTTTGAACTATTTCAACAATTGCAAATCTGTGCATGAACAATGACTTTAAATCATTTTTAAATCAAAAGCTCTTACCCTTGAAAATATTTCTGAATGTGATTTTTCACTTTTTTCTTCCAGCTGAAAGAGAATAGGGACCATGATTACCTTTTGTAATAAAGGACTACGGAATCAGCATCTTTTGTTCAAAGACACTGAAAAATATTTTTAAATTAAATAATTTTTTTAATTCCAGCTGTTAACATAGATCAGGACAGGAAAAACAATATTCAGCCTAAAGCAGTAGTTTTTATCTCATTTGCAAAACAAAACAATTTCTTGCTTGTAAAGAAAAAGCCAGAAGTTTTTCTTTAAAGGTTTTTAAAAGCTATCACCAGTATTAAAAAACAAAGCATGTTTTACTATTTTAAATTTCAACAGAGTAATAACTATAACATTTGGTGGCATAACAGATGCAAATCTTCATGCAAGTACATTTAAGGCTGTCAGTGACAGCAGTGTGAATGCCCTAGTTAATAGAAAACACATTTGTACTTTCAATCTCTCTAGTAAAACCTGCAACTCCATCACAATAAAACCTGTTCAGGTAAAAGCCTATAACTAAAGTATACTAAGTAAAAGCAACCTACAAAATAATTTCAATTCATATGTATTGAAGACTAAGAAAAAGAACTATCATACTCCCTTCCTACTTAGGAAACTTTGCTATTGCAAAATTATATTGTAGGTATACACGTTTTCTACACTTCTGTGAATCAAAATAAGTGAGATTAGATATGTATTTAGCAYGGTATCTCGAGTATCTCAGAACACCTGTTTTTCCTCAGGGCAGGGAAAAGTGTTTTGCAAATCTGTTGCAATCACAGAAGAAACACCTCTACTTTGCAAGATCTTTCTTTTTCTTTCTATAAAAGCAACTTTGCCTTATTATGACAAATTCTCTACCGCCAATGATGTACTGAAATTACAGACTTCAAATATTTGTCACCAGTATGATGACAGAATGATGTGAACAATCCAATTAATCTGAAGATTTACTTACATTTAGACTAACCTTATAAACCTTTAGACTAACCTAAATAAAAATAATTTTGGAATCCAATAATACATAATGATGATGATAACAAAAGCAACTGAGAAGGTAGCATAACTACCAGTCTCAGCCTCCATGTTTCTTTTTTTCAGAACTTCAATTTCAAAAAGTCAGCTTTATTAGGGGAAAAAATAAGCTTAAGATGTTTAAGATGGAGAAATAATTAGTCTCTCATGCTTTGGGAATGAACAAATATTAAATAACATAAACCATTACAAGTTATACAGCAATGTAACCGTATTAATATCATTTAAATGCAAAGTCACAGAAAGTGGTTGTAGGAGTCTAGTTCTCAGTCTCCCATTCAAAACAGAAGTACTGCCGACAGTCTAGGACAGCTGTGGCTTGATCTAACTAACCCTCACCTACTCCTAAACACAGAGGCTCTCCAGCCTTGATGAAACTTGACAGACTGCAACAATAACCTCCTTGTGAAGCTCCTGGAGTGTCTCCTCAGTTGTAGTGTGAGACTGCTGGCCCTTGGTGCGCTGCTTGGCAAGGTACGAAGACTTTGGCTATCACCTAAGCAAGCACTCTGCTGATCACCACATAGCAGTCCTTTTGCTCAACTTAATAAGCATAGTGCTCTCAACATCTCTGCCTACTGCATGTGTTAACCCTGACTGTTATTTCAAAACACCTACGATCAGAAATTTCCTTTTTTTTCTCCACACTATTAAGCAAAAAAGTTTTGACTGTAAATAACAAGAATTTTTAGAAATTGTAGCAACAAGAAAGAGAAGGTGGCTAGGTTTAGTACAAACTATATTCATCCTAAAGTGATGCACAGGAAAACCATCACAATAATTTTCATGTAATGTGATCCATTGACATGAAATTCAGTACAAGTGCATAGTCAATGACAAGTGCCTCAGTAATGGATGCTGACAAAATTTCATATGACGAACACTAAAATACACTAGTGTGGACACAGTTCCAAGTATTTTTGTCACTAAAAGAAGTAATAGTATTCCAAAAGTACTAGCATTGTTAGTTTCCATAACAAACAAAATGTAAAAAGTTTGGATCTCTAAGAGATTCTTAAGCTTATCACACACACACAAAAACATGAAGCRTCACATTTGTCACATACATGTAGCAACAGGCAAAATCTCCTTTAAAACAGAGTGTAGCATACTTTAAAAAATTCATTCAGTACATTTTTACACAAAAACCAGCCCCAACCCTGCAATAACCCTATTTGCAATTAAGTAATTCAGAATGCTTTTACAATATTTACTCTTTCAAGAGTATGAAAAGAAAATCCATGGTTAGTAAGTGTGCTGTATTCATCACAGTGTAACAAAAAGCATTATACTCTCAGTATTCAAAACATGGCCATCATCTGCATCAAAAACAATGCTTCTCCTGTGGCTGGAATGACTAAAATAGTCAGCAGTAGTTTCACTTTGATCAGAAAAATCTTATCTAAAGATAAGAAGGTGAAAGAGAACTGAAGATGACACCACTGAATGAGCAAAGATTTATTAAAGCCAAAAATTATCCTACCTTAAATCGCCATTATTTCACTAAAAACAATGAACATTTATTATTGATTCATTTTCCTCAATTAGAATAATATAAAAAATAAAACCACAACCGAATACCAAAGGTTTAATACTAATTTAGGGTCAAACCCAAACTACAAAAATTTCCTTTTAGAAAAGTTTGCAGATTATAAAAATTATATAAATTGATAAATAAAAATTATTATTTTTTCTCTATAAATGTTGCTGTTTTTCAAATCAACACATACCCAACAGTGCTAGTTATAAATGTAATCTGGTCTTCTTCTCATTCATAACTTTTGCCTACACTAGAAGGCAAGATTACTCCCCGAAGATGTACGTTCAGTACTTAAAATGTGGGGGAAAAATGCTAGTGCTACACATTGCTTGTATAAAAAGGCAAAAATATATCTAAGCATATTACAACAAWTACAACTGCCATGGGAATTCAAGTGAAATGTTCAACTGAAAAACACCATGCATGTAAACCATAGTATTAAATGAGAAGAGTAGGTTTATCTTAAGGTTATTGATAACAATCTACTCCAAAAGGCAGAAAGTTTCTGTGAACATTGCATTTAGTTTTACAAACGATTATAGGAGAAAAGAATCCCTATATGAAGAGTTGGAAAATATACTGTCCTTATCTAATTCTATTTAAAAGAAAACTACTTCTTTATACTTGATGTATTTGTAGCCTCATTCTGATTAAAATATAGTGGGGTGTCTAAAAGTTACATATGTAACAGTTATATAAAAAGTAGTTTACTGATGAACACCTAGCTCAGATTATGCTATTTTAGGACTACGGAATTTGTATTTGTTGTCATTGATATATTATGTTCTATTTTTCTACAACAAATTTTCGATCTATAAAACTCTATCTATAGTTCAAAGAGTATCTTAGTTTTCTTTAAATGTGACTAGGTAGATAAATTTTGATAGCTGGAAATTTGGCTAAACTTTCCTATTTCATTTGCATTGCACAAAGTATAAAGATACTGAAGAGAATTCTTCTTTTGCATTATGATTACAGCAAAAGAACAAACAACTTGGGCTACAATCTATGACAACACTGGTCTTCCACTCAAAAACCACTTCTCTTTGCTGTTGAGAAGTCCATATACCTGATAAATCTTGATGCTCCTTCTTCCATACTTTTCATACTCCTAATATATTTCTCCATGGGCTAATCATTGTAATGATGGAGATGCATCATCTTTCTTCTATACTTTTCATACTCCTAATATATTTTTCCATAGGCTAATTATTGTAATGAATGGAGATGCATTATACAGTTTCTCACAAGAGTTTTCTGCTTTTTCTCTCTCCTGCTTTCTCTTCTGATTTCCAGTGATTACTAAGCTGACTTCAAATGCATTATCCAAAGTAAAACCAAAATACAAGCCACAGAAACATTAGGAAATTAATGTTAAATTATCCATAATATTTTTACCTCATCTGCTTTTCAGGATTATTTCATTAAACAAATACTTTGAACTCTCTTAAGCATTCATTAGTGTGAATAAATGGTACCTTAGTATTATTGGCATAACATGTAGACARTGAGATCTGACATATATATAAATACATGTGTATCTATATGTATGTGTGTGTACATGTACATACACATATATGTACGTGTATATATATTCCTATCTATCTAAAAGTATATCCTTCTAAGAAATTAATCTCAGTGTTAAGAAAAACTAAGGAGACAAGTAGTATTTTCACAGTTCAAAGGATTACAAATGTAGGTCAATACCTGTTATGTTTTAGAACTTCATAAAGCAATAGGAAAATTACCTTTTTCCTATACCCTCAAAAATTCACTCTGATATCTCTTGTAGTTAAAAACATTCATTTCTGACAAATCTGGGTTTTTTTGTTTAGTACTGATACATGTGGTTTATATCAAAGTGACAAGGTACTTATGAGGCCTATTAATTGAAAACTTTCTATAGCCTTTTTTAATACGTTATCAATATAAGAACGTAATAACTTTTCACATATTAAAACATAATGTAATCACTTTCAATATATTATCAATGATAGCCTTTTTATATATTGCTATAAGTTTTTTAATAGTGTATTAGCAACATATAGTGTACCAGCTGCACATAACCTAACCAGCTGGATTAGTACATAGATATATGAAATCACCAAGGGGCATATATCAGAAAAATTTCTGAAGAAAGTAGACAGGTAGATGTTATAACAAGGAACAGCTGAGAGCACTAATGAGAACTGGGCAGAGGCACAGGACAGTCAGCAAAATAATTGAAAATGAAGACTTGGAGGACTACAAAAAACCCATGAACATCACAACTGTGCATGCCCTGAAGACAAAGGTTAAAAGTCCACCATGATGAAGAGGATGGTATCTCATCAGAGGGAGACCCCGTGACCACCGAATTGAGGATGACACATACGCATTTGTAAAACTGTGATATTTCTGTGCCCATGTATGGTGGTGGGCATATGGGGGGCGTATGGGGGGCAGTGACAATGGTAATGTTACACCATGCTTACTGCATAAATATGTGCTAATTTGAAGCAAAGGCGGGTAGGTTAGGAGGAGAAATCCTCCTCACCTCCAGCGCTGCAATAAACAAATACCTGCTCTATAGACACCGGTCTATGGAGTTTTATTTCTAGGCCTTTTTCAGGCATGAGTACCTATAATACTGTTAATATATGAGGTATAAAAAGGACTAAACATTTCAATTTAGCTCGTACTAGAACACATTTTTTTGTTTTGTGTAACGTGACAAATGAGCAGCTGCATCAATGAAACTAAGACAACTGTTCTGCAGCAGAAGCAAAACAAAACTTTTAAAAATCACTTTGCAGCACAAAAAGCCAACTTTGTAATTACACTTTCAATACAATACAGACCCAGAAATTAATTTCTGTCAATTTTTGATATTCGTCACCATAAAAATGAGCAAGCTTTTTACTGTATTATATAACAGCTTCCATTAGTCCTCTTCGCCAAAAGAAACACTTTTTTGCATGTACTGCAGTATGTTTCATGTGCTTGCCCCATCTGTGACATAGACTAGTAACCCCAACAATGTACTATACTTCAGTTACCAGTTGCTCCCAATTGTATAGGTCACAAACATTAGAAAGATACTTAGGAAAACAAATTCCTTATTGCTTCTACAGTTTACTGTCTTACTGCTAAAAACAGTATCTTGCTAAAAAATCACATCTCTGACAAATTAAAACTTAGGTGGAACGGAAAAATCAAGTCTGTATGTTGGTCAGTAAAACGATCCCCAGTGAACATACTCATAACTGTGGATGTSTTAATACCAAAGCATTCAGCAAATCATGCAAGAGGAACGCTCACCACAGGACCACTTCAGACTTAGCTTGCCCTTGAAAAGTAACTGTATTCAGATGGCTATAGAAAAGTTTTCACAACTTTCATAGATTTCTGTCTGCAGAAAACACAGATAATGAAAGAAATAACCCAACCAGGAGCCTATCGGTCAAGAACTAACTCAGTTATATCATCCATCCAATGAGGCATGAGAAAGAAGGAATAAAGTACCATTTATATCCAGTCACAGCAATTATTGAGGCACACTCATACTCAATGACTCCTTTGCACAGTCACATACTCTCCTATCCTATCCATATGTTTCCAGTTAGTAGCATGTTTAATAAAAAAAACAAACAATTTTTAAAGATTCTCAGCAGAATTTACTATTACTTCCAGGCACATCTATTTTGATGTGTCACTCTAAGAATTCTATTGAAAAACAGCCAAACAGTTAAAAAAAAATCATATCTCAATTATTTTCTTGATTACATTTTTAAATTAAAATATGGTTTTAACTGCTCTGAAGCCTGCAGAAGTTTTAAAACACCATGAGAACTGAAGCTATGCTGTACACTTACCAATTTTATTTTATGCTCACCCACAAATGTTCTCATGAAGGAGACTGTTTAAATGTGCAAGGCTGAAATTATGCAGTGGATAATGAAAGCAGCTCTGAGGAATGCAACTTAAAAAGAAAAAGATTACAGTTTCATGCTGCTTTGCTCCTACCCATGAAGAAAATTCTAGCAGAAATTAGAATTATATGTTTATCAGAGTTACATGTAATAGCAGTCTTCAGCATCTTGGCCTCTCACGGAATCTTCTAATGTCTTCTTGAGAACACACACTAAGCCAAAAAAGGCAAATCATCTGTTTGCAATTGACTTGCAAAACAAGATCTCACTTCTAATTAAAAATATTGCAAAAGAATATTTGATTATTTTTACATATGTTTAGCATATATCTAAACGGCAGTGTAAGTTGGATTTGAACTACTATAACAGCAAAAGGCATAAAGTTTCAGACATGCATGTCACTTTTCAAAGAAAATTTTTTGTAGAGCAATCTTAGCCATTCCACAGCACTACTAGCTACTTTTTATTTTGTAAAGATGAAGATTAGGTATTCATGCTATTGTATTTTTTTCAAGTTTATTAAATTTAAATATGGCTTCCTATTTAAAAGTATTCAAGGTCTGTTTACCACAAATTTCAGTAATCTCCTGATGACTTTTCCGTCCAAATGCTTAACCTTTATAAAGACTTTTGCCAATATTATACATGCAGTTGTTATTTAGGATGCTTGAATTAACTTGTTCTAACCCCAGCATTCTTCAACATCATTGTTGCACTCACCAAGTTTATGCTTGTCTGGAAAAAGAGCAGTAAAACAGCAACTACTAAAATACTTTAAAAAGACAATTTAATCAGGTTAAGAAAATTAAACTGAATTACTCCAGAATATGACACGAAGAAACTGCAGCTCTAAGAAAATCCAAAAAGTGCACACGGTAATACTGTCGAGCCTCACGGCCATTGAATACAAATTTAAGGCAACCATGCAAATGGTGCTTACAAACCAAACTGATACTCTTTATCAAACCAGGTGTGTTTAGAGGACACACCTATGAAGAAAAGTGTAATTTTACATTTTTGTGGGCCATTCTAATATCTAAAGAGAAATGAGATATTATTTTACATTGTACTAACCCTGTAACTCCTGGTTGGTGCCATTGGATCACTGTATAGAGAAGATGACTGTAATTTGAAGAACAGAATAAGTCAGAAATACTATTTCTGCATGCATATTTTTTTTAATTTATTGCTCTACATTCTGCAAAAGCTCTAAAGATTTAAATAATAAATTTTATATCTGTACTAGACAGAAACTTTCAGAAAAGAGTGGAAGAACCTCCAGGAAAACCCATTCTCTTTGAAATCAATTTAAACATTATTAAAGTAATCAAGTATTCTTGCAAGTAGATTTGTGGAAGAGAGTGAAAAAATTAAATAGTTTTCAAATAACACGTCAGTTTCTTGTAACTAGCCATTTAAATCTGGCCGTAGTTGCAGGTACTGGTAGATACTACACAGCTCATTAAGGTGGAAAAAAAGTAGCTCAGTGATGCTAAACATTTCAGACTTTCTTTTCTTATTTTTAAAAGACAGGAATTTGAAACAGCAACTGTCACAGCTGCAGGCTGTTTTCTGTATATCATAGAGCAATCATGAAACAGAAATKATTTTAAATTTAAAACCTCACATGMAGAACAGAGTAATCTGCATGTTATACATTAATTTTGTAAAACACAACCTTTACAAGCAAAAAATACAACTTTAACTACTAACAGTAATGTTTTAAAGTGTCATAGAGGGGAGAAAGATAAGTTAGCAACATTTGGCATAACAAGCAAACCCACATATACATATTTTATAAAAACATAATGAAATTAATATAGAAAGAGGAGACAGACCCAAACATGGTAGGAAGGAACTGGTTTATTATATCCAAGGCTGCTATAATTTATTTGATCATAGTAAATTCCACTCTGAGGGGTGCGGAAGGAAAGAGAGAAAACAAAGTTTGCATCTGTAGATCTTGCAAACRAAAGTTTTGTCTTAAGATTGCCCAAGTGTTCCCAAGCTTAGAACTTGTACAGAATGCTGTAAAGTTTTCCCTACTGTCAAACCAAAATCCATGTAACTTTCTTAAGCAAGTAGAGAATGAAACCCCCAAGACTACTTTGCACTCTGTGTATCAGTATTATCTGTATTTCTACTGCCATGCTCAAAAGAAATAGTAAATAATTTTGGTATTTTTTTCTCTGTAATAAATAAGAAAACTCCAAAAGCTAGACAAATGCAGCAAGACATACACGAAAAACATAGTTGACAAGACTTGTTAATAATTAGTACAATTATTTACTTTATCTTTTTTCACAAGATACCATCATGAAACAAAGCATTTTGGGCAGAGACTACAGAAATCCCTAATAATTTAATAGGGGCTGGATGTTTACATGATGTCAGCATTACCCAGTACCCTATCTCTGTTCTTTACACCAACTGCATATACCAAAAGTCTAGCAATTACACTTTGGTTTATTTCTGTTGGGTTTTGACACTCTCCACACAAATTGCATACATATGCACATGTGGGGCAACAAAATATACACAAATACAAAAAAGAAAAACCAGACAGATGAAAACATGCCAAAAAGTAGTGCCTGCAGAATAAAGCACTTCCTCAATAGGCAACAGAAAGCAGAAATATTCGTATTACTCATTTGTTTAGGAACWAAGGGAACAGGAAAATAGCACCTCAAAATGCCATAATACAATAAAAAGTAAATATAAAATTACTTTAGCCTCGTCTCAAGAGAAACCTCCAACGCGGTTCAGACCTGCCCAATCCCTAATGCAATTGCTAATTCATCAGTTCCAAAAACGTCCATCCAAAATGTTTCATTTATTGAAACAACTTTCTAGAATAGTTTCTTCAAGATCACAATAATCCACATGCCTTTCTCAAAAAGGCAATGGGTTAACATCAAGGTCTATGGTAAATTCAAACTGCTGTGCATCTACATTTAGAATACTTCTAATTATCTGACAGGAGACAAAGGGGAATAATAGAACACATATCCCCATCCTGATTGAATAAACTTTAATCCAGAGAAGTGCTACATTTAAACAGTTTCAAGAGCCTTTTCCAGGCCTCCAGCAAAATGAGATTTCTATTCAGCAAATTCCATTGATGGTATTGCACTGATATGAACACCACTTGAGCTCAGACAACTTTCAAACACAACTTGAGGTCAGAATCTGAACAATACAAGGTTTCTTTTTTTCCTAAAACTATTTATACAAATGTCAGGATGCTAACTGTATCAGTATATAACTTTACACATTGACGCGTATTATACTAGAAAACTAATCAATAAACCTGTATGGGAATAAACAACTTTCCTCTTTGAAGTATGAGATTCATTGTAAGCATTACTCTAAGCATAAAATTTAGAGAATTAATACCACTATGTAACAGCATCTTTAATCTTAAAATATGAATAAGTCAAATATAAGGATTTAGTGTTTTTATCAGGTAAAACAGAAGCAACATAGGAAATTCAAACTACATGATTAGGAAAAACAGGCCATGCTTCTATCATTGTATTAAAAAGATCTGGTAAGTGAAACTATAATCAACCCTATTCTGATTAACACTGCCTTCACTTAAAGCTAGTGCTCACATTTCACAAAAAATATTTAAACCAATAAACAAACTAACAAAGCTTAACAATGCAGACTGGTTTAAGCACTATATGGTGTTTGCCTATCTGTAGCTAAATCAGATAACACTCCTGTTTAAACAAATACAGCTTTTTAAGTTGCTTACATATTCCTTTTAGTTGTACTTGATGCTCGCTTTTTCCTAAGACACACACAGATCTTATGTGGCATAAAACCACTGAGAATGCGATGCAATCTACTATCACTTCATAAAAATATGAAAGAAGTTTTTTAAGTAAAGGTATACATACCAGCTATGTTTTCCCTAGACTGAAATAATTTTCCACTAGTAAGTTAAATTTTCTACGTGGTAATGGAGAATACAAATAGATGCATACACATATTTTTCCTCAAGAATGTCCTCCAAGTCTAATCTGTATGCCASTTCACTACAAAGTTTAGAAATAATAACTAGAGACTAGAAAGTCCTCACTGTAAGACAGTTGTCTTTTCTCCCTGACAAAATATACATGTGGTATACAGAAAGTGTTAGAATCATCAAACTGTTCTAGGTCTGAAAATGTGACAGTACAAATCTATACTTTTTAAAATCAGTCATTCAAAGTCACTAGTTAGTGTCATTACATCTTAGAAACAAAGCATAAAAACAGTCTTCAAAGACATGCTAAGTATTAACATACAGGGACCAAATACCTTGCAGATCTATCTTTATCATAGTAAGTAAAAGAAAATAAAAATCAAAACCACAATATTAAAAAAATTTCCTTTTTTTGAAGAATGACTAAAAAGACTTAAAGAAAAATTACAAGAAAACATATTCTAATAATTATGAAAATTCATACATGAAGGAATGCCATTTATCCTATCTGAAGTGCATTCTGAGGCTGGAATACTTAATAAAAACTAATCTTCTTCCCCAACAGCATCCCAGTTTATGAAAAGTGAGATAACTCTGGACAACAATCGGTTATGTGAAATATTTCATGTGATTTTAATAATAGAATTTATAAATAAATAAGCTAAGTCTCATATGATAGATTGCATTAAACTGAGACAGCATTTTCAAGGTTAGGTGACAGAAGGCTCATGTGCACACAGGCAAAGCAGCCCAAAGGATCATCAGTCCCCTTATTGAGGTGTGCAACTTATCATGATGCAATGAATTTCCAGGGCTCTTAGAGGCTCAGGAAGGTCACTGCCTACAGGGTACACAGGGCATAAAAGACATTACAGAAGGAAGGGAAAACACCATTTTGTGATCTGGGAGGCATTTAAAGTGGGGAAAGAGAGATAAATGCATTTTCAGGGGGAGTAAGTGTGTGAAAAAGAAGGAACAGTGTGATGACAGGGTCAGTTGTGTGTAAAGAGAATGGGAGTCTATCAGATTTGGCAACTGTTAAGAATACTGACAAAAACAGCTTTGTAATTACAGTTTAGCCTGTGGCCCATGTCACTCTTGTCACTCAGTAACAGCAAAATTTGTGAAGTTTATACTTCTTTTTTTCAACTTTAAAACTTAAATTTTCACAGTAAGCTCATTTTTTGCCAGCTCACTTAAAAAGGTCACAGGTATTTTGAATGTAGGTAACGCATAATATAAAATATAACTTAGTATCAAGCTACACCTACTTTTAACACAATGGAAAAAAGAAGCTGACAGTAGTCTAAAATATTACAATACATACTAGTAGCATACTGGAGTAATACCYAGCCTCATTTTCAACATGAGGAGTAATAAGAGAATTGCAAGAAAAATTAATTTATTCTTGTCCATTGACACAACTGAAAATTTCTTCTAGACATCAAATTGAACCAGAAATTCCCTGGTTTTAGATATTATATTTGTTTATACGTTAGTACAGGCTAGATTTAGCTAATATTATTTCATACTGTATTCATATTATCTCAATAGTTCCAATACATCCAATATTAACAATATATTAAAAGATATTTTAATATTATAGATGTAATTTAGAGACTATGGTCCCTTTCTGTGTTAATGAAAGTGTTACCTATGGCACCCACATGACACTGTATCAGTTTTAACCAACTTAACTGCTCTTTTTTTTAAAAACAGTTTCTATCTTTATTTATATCTCCAATAAGCAACCTTGCTATCAGAGAACAAAAACCAATCAGTCAGATAATCATTATCATCCCAACACTTAACTTATACCTTTTATAAATACTAACAGTTCAACAGTCTACTAACAAATGTTTAAGTTGCCTTTCCACAAATACACAGAAAATGTATTTTAGTCTTGTCTGTTGTTCTAAAATCACATCATGAAAGAGAAAACATTTCCTGTCATAATTTTCAACAACATGTTTGTACCTATCAAGGCTGATGCACAACCTTTTTCACTTAATTTTACTTCTCTTTAGAGGATATTGGGAAAGAGCGACTGAAGAGAAGAATTACCTTCACACTTCTAAGTATTCTGTCTTGAGGATAAATTCACTTAGCACTGTCTTTTAAGTTCTCAAATTTGCTATCACAAAGTGCTTGATAATACCAATCATTGCAGCAGTCCCAATACCATTCTCTATAAGCATGCTTTCACCAAACTAGTGCTTTGGTAAGTAGACAGAATATGTTACAATGTGAACATATCACATTCTAAATAAAAAGCATGCTCATTCCAGGTTACACACCACACGATCTCTCCTTCTGGAGGTACTTGCTCTGCTCCTGTGAGATGTACTGACATCCAAGGAACTCTTGAGAATGAAATTATAAAAATATATCAAGATATGAAATAATTTTTTAAAATTTAATTCTGTTAATCTTCAGTGAATAACAAAAAAAAAAACCAAGGCATTTAAAGAAATTCTAAGTAAGTGCCCCAAAAACAAGCTTCGTTACCTGCTTGATTCAAACCTTTTTGTTTAGATAATTAGTTAATCCCCATTTTAGCATATTTGCTATGTCAACCAAGACAAGAGCAAATCTCTACCAGATCACAAGTTTTTAAGTGTTGCATGTAGCATATTTTACACATATTTTCGATAAAACATTCACTGTTCAAAATTATGTGGTAAAAATACGTGTGTGGCAAATTGCAAAAACACTTACCACTAGGACTTGAGTGACGTTACACAAACTTCAGTCAATCAAAGAATACATTTAATTGCTGAAACCTCCTAGCAAGTAACAATCACTTTTTTTAAAAGTCACCCATATAAACAGCTCATTACAGCTTCCAAAATACACAACTTTTTATATAGGCCCTTGCTTGGCCTATATATCCAGATCAATGATCAGCTGATTTCTACGCAGTCCTAAAACCAGAAACATCCTTACACAACCTTGATAAAATCATTCTTTAGCAAGGTATATGGCCTAAAGATGACACAGAAAAGCCAATACAATGAGTATTTCTGTTAGCAGTCTTTGGGATACCTTACATAATTCAGCTAACATTTTTGCCATTAATGAATAATACACTCCTACCTTCTCAAAGAAAGAAAACCTTTAATCATACCAAACCCTTCTTCAAATTGTATCTTAAGGTACCAATAGTACAGAAACAAAGTAATACACGAAGTGCAAGAAAAGACAGACGACTGAAACATATAAAAACAAACAACCCTGTTAGCATTGATGGAAATAAAATACCAGATTAATTTAAGCATATGTTACTTAAAATAATGATTAAAACTACAAATACTTAGGAGACTTGAAGCTTCATCCTTTCCATAAGGAAATAAAATGAGAACCCAAATATTTTTTCCTTTGGCTTGTTTTTAAAGGCCATAATCAAATAGAAAAAGAATATAGTTTGAACACAAACCAAATGTGAATGTCGAATGGACTGGTGAGAGTATCTGGCTCTCTCTGCATCTTCCTGAGAAAGAAGAAATGCAGAGTTATTTCATAAGTAAGGAAAAAAAAGAACCTGACAATACCAGGAAGCAAAAGTGAGCAACATGCTATTAGCACTTTTAATCCTATGTGTAATTTAGAATAATCCATGGTGGTAGGTAAACTCATTCAAGTCAGAAGAGCTCATTTCACCTGATTTGGGTAAGATACTACATTAAGGGATGTAAATAAGGCAGGTTAATATAAAGTAACAATTAGTGTTCAGTAATCCATCTTTCTTATGAGTAGTATATTAAAGTAGAGAAAAAGACAAAGTTGTTTAAATTAACAAATTAGAGTAAAAACAAAGAGTTTTACAAATTTATATTAGTAAAAAATATACCATATAATTGCTACATTCAGATTTTAAATCATTTACAAAGTTTTTTTAGTCCTAATAGAAATTATTATTCTGTTTCCTCATACGTATTTCACATTTTTGTCTGCATTAGAGGAACAAAGCTTAAACAAATTGATCAATTTTAAGTTCTACAGGTAGTTCTGATCTACAGTGAATGAAAATAATAAACCCAAATTTAAAAATCTGAATGAAGACAATTAACTAAGGCACCTTTGTATCTTTTATTCTGTTAAAAGATGAGAGAATGTTCATTTTGGTTCACACAAATGAATATGTGAGAAGCGAGACAAAAACCACAACTAATTTAAAATTAAAGCATATACYATAAGAATTTCTAGGTGTTACAGCATGAAAACATTTTAAGAATAATCTTAATTTTAAAATTATCCCATTTAGAGGCCACCAAGTAGGAATTATTCCTTAAATTACTTATTTCTTGCAGTTCTCAATATGTTGAACTATTCTAAAGATTGTAAGCTAGTTATTCATAGAACTAAAGGCTTTATCTCCAGATCATAGATGAGTATCCAAAGACTAAAACTGGCTTCCACATTGCTTATGGCCACATAATTATTGTCTACATTTTCACTGGATGCATCAATTTGTTTACAACTATTTTATTTCTATTCAAAAGCCTATTTAAAACTCTGACAGAGAATTTCCCAGGGGGAAGGGTAAGTTCATCTCATAATGACATTTGAGTCTTCCACTCTAAAGTGTCTGTTCTGAGGTTTAAAACAAATGTTCTTTCTATCTAGCTTTTCAACACAACGAAGTKAGATCATTACCATTTTAATATTCTTTGTATCTTTAGTCTAAATGGACAAGTACCTCTCAGTAACATTTGCAGCAGGCAAGAAGAGAGTTTGTTACTTATATAAGATTCCTCTTAATTGGTATGTAACAAGTCTCTTTCTCACCTTTCATCAGAAAATAGAAAGTCGGTGATAAGTGTCTAGTATATTCAGGTCAAAGGATAAAGTACTACAGTACACACTACAAACAGCTGCTGCTTGATTTCTAACAATTTATGTTTGAATTATGCACGTTATTCAACACAGAGTTTACACCTCCCTGTCCAGGAAAGGAGTGCATATCTGCTCAGAAATCTCCTGCAGCAGATGTGCCTCTTAGGACTGCGAAAGGAAGGTGGCATTCAGTTGAGTGGCATTAATTTTGAGTGATGTTCCTCACAAATACAACCTATGTTCCACTTTTTAGAAACCTTTGATCTCAAGCAAAAAAAACTTCAAAGGTACATTTCACCAAGAAATACAGAAATCTGTGTTTATATTGACAGCATGAAAACTAATGTATACACAAGTATCAGCCAGGCAAAGAGACAATACAGAGTCAGTACAACTTTGCAAATAAAATTCTAATGACAGTCCTAGGATTTCTCAACAGAGACAGGTGCTGACTGTCACTGTAGTTCTATTTGAAATTAGGGCTAGCCTCAGCATGTATCTCTTCTTGATGATTCAAAACATTCCCACAGTAAACACTTTCCTAAGAGCCAAAAAGTCCCCTTACATCTCCCATAAACCCTTTTAGGAAGCACGTGAGTTTTGTGAAAGGAATGCTCTAAAGAAACATTCCAATCCATTCAGTCTCACTCCTAGTAAAACCATGGAAAACCTTATTCTGGGAGGTACTGAAAAACACCTGGGGGCAACTCAGTCATTGGTCAGAGCCAGCATGGCTTCTTAAGGGGAAATTCCTGCTTGTTGAACCTGATTTTGTTATAAAACAGGGTAAACCACCTAGGTGACCTAGGAAAGCCTGTAGATTGAACCCTTCTAGAATTCAGCAAAGCTTTTGAAACTGTCCACTCACAGGATCCTTTTAGACAAAATAGACTGCACACAGCTGGATTTTATGTGATGAGTCAGCAACTGGCTCACAAGTCAGGCTTAAAGGGCTGCAGTGAATGGGATGACATCAGAGTGACACAGATCACTGGTAGAGTTCCACAGGGCCTCATCTTGGGCCCAGATATCTTAATAAATTTACTTAGATGCAGAACTCTAAGGAATAGTAAGTTTGCCGATGACACCAGCTGGGAGGAGCTTGAGGGCAGAGAGGCACCATAGCAAGACCTTGGCAAATCAGGGAGATGAGCAAGCACCAACCATTTGAAGTTCAACAAGGGCTACACTTGGGTTTGGGCAACTCTGGGTGTATAAACTGGGGAGCAAGACTGGAGAGCAGCACCACGAAAAGAGACCTGGAGCTCCTAGTCAATGGAAAGTTGAATGTGACTCAGCAATGCCCAAGCAGCCAGGAGGGCCAACTATGTCCTGGGGTGCAGCAGGCACAGCATGGCCAGCCGGACAAGAGGGGAGACTGTCCTGCTCTGCACTGGTGCAGCCTCACCTCGAGTCCTGTGTACAGTTTTGTGTATCACAATATAAGAAAGATACAAAGCTATTAGAGAGCATCCAAACGATAACAACCAAGATGGTGAAGGACCTGGAAGGGAAGCTGTATGAGGAGGGGCTGAGGTCACTTGGTCTGTTCAGCCTGGAGAAGAGGAGACTGAGGGAAGACATCATTGTGGTATTGATTATCCTCATAAGTGGAAGTGGAGAGGCAGGGACTGCTCTCTTCTGTGGCTACCAATGACAGGACCCAAGGGAACAACTGAGCCAGAGGAGGATTAACTACATACATATGTAGTTGAACTATATATATACATAATATATACATTTTATATATTAGATAATTAGACACTTTGAAATAACACAGCAAACCATTAGTAAATTACTTCCTCCAAAATCCTATGTTAGTTCTCCAAGTGGCAAAAACATGCACAACAGGTGATTTCAGCCTACCATCCATTTCTGGATATGAGCCCATTTTCTATCATATGAATGCTGAGAAAACTACAGAATGTAAAAAGAAAACCAAACAAACCATTTACAATATAAATTAATCACCACACAAAACTGGATTCCTAAATTGAAAACTCAGTAAAATCTACACTAATTGCCATGCAATCTTCAGAATAATAGCAGATGTCTACAGCAGTTCAAAAACAAATTGAAGCACAATGAGAAAAATATAAAATTGAGGCAAAAATGTTCTACGTATTTTTGTTATTACCACAGGAAAAAAACCCCACAACAACCAAAAATCAGCATTACATGGATTTGAGTACAAATGATAAATAAGAAATTCGCAATCTTTTGCTTGCAATGTCAAAATCTGAATTAAATGCAACAACCATGAAATAACCAGACTGTTGAAAACCTAGTTTCTAGGATTTTTTTTAACTCAAGAAATGCAAACTTTTTTTAGGAGAAACGTGTGGAGCAACACAAAACTGTATGTGTAAATACTACCCCGATCTTATGATGCTTTTTTTTTTTAAATAAAGATCTTGACAATAGGTATTTATTGTGGATACTTTCAATATAATCCAGTCCTAATGCTTAGAATACTCACACAAAACTGAATTTCGCTAAAAGACAAAAATCTTATGTAAATGCAGAAATAAGGTATATTAAGAATTTTTGTAAAGATTTGCAATAATTCCTGATGAGTTACGCTACCTCTTTTTGCTGTCGCTCCAGCTCTCTCATACGTATATCTCTTGCTTCTGCTCGAGCTGCCCGTTTTGCTGCAAGTCTGGCTTCTGCCTACAAGCAGATGGAAAATAATTAAAGTTAAAAAAAGGGGGTTTGAATAACGGTTTGAGTACTCAACCTCTTCACAAGTACACATTAAGATTTTAACACCATAGTACAGAAGTAGTAAAGAAATCAGACTTCCTACAATGAAATTTCAAAGAGAGTATGTACCTAACTTTTTAAAGATACCATAGCATCAAAAAAATTGTATGTTCATTAAAAATGTGATAGAATGGCTTGGGTTGGAAGGAACCTTAGGGATCCTCTAGTTCCAACATTCCAACACCCAGATCAGTTGCCATCAACTAAACCAGGCTGCTCACGGCCCTATTCAAACTGGCCTTGAACAGCTCCAGGGATGGGACATTCACAGCTTCTCTAGCCAACCTGTTCCAGTGCCTCACTACTCCCATAGCAAGAATTTTCTCCTAACATCTAATGKAAACCTGCTCTCTTTTAGTTTAAAACCTTGATGTCCTAACACTATCCACCTGAGCAAAAAACCTCACTCTCCCACTTTTTTACAAGCCCCCTTCAGGCAGTGGAAAGTTACAGTGAGGTATCTTCTCCAGGCTGAACAACCCCAGCTCTCTCAGCCTGTCTTCACAGGTAAGGTGCTCCAGTCCTCTGAGCATCTTTTTGACCATCACCAAGTTCTTCTCCCAGTCTGGACTCACATCTGCGATTGCCCTGACAGAGGTACAGTACCTTACACTTGGACTTGTTGAACAACAAGAGTTCTCACGGGCCCAAGTTTGTCCAGGTGCCCCTGGATGGCATCCCATCCTTCTGTTGTGCCAACTGCGTCACTTAGCTTCATGGATCTGCAAACTTGCTGAGGATACATTCAATCCCGCTGACAGTGTCATTGATAAAGGTATTAAAGGGCCCTGGTACCAAGACAGACCCCCAAGGAACACAGCTCATCACCAGCCTCCAACTGGACTTAAGAGCTGGACTTAAGACCACAACTGTCTGGCTGCATCCATCCAGCCAATTTCTTATCCACTGAATAGTCCATCCATCAAATCCATGTCTCTTCAATTTGGACATAAGGATGCTGTGAAGGACCTTGTCAAATGACCTAAAGAATTCTAGGCAGATGGCATCTGTCAGTTTTACCTAGCAAATTGTTGCTGTCACTCCATTATAGAAGGCCACGGGATTGTTCAGTCATGATCTGCTCTTGGTGAAGCCATGCTGGATGTCTCAGATCATCTCCTTGTCTTGCATATGTCTCAACCTTGTATCCACAAGGATCTGCTCTACAATCTTCCCAGGCAAAGAGGTAAGGCTCACCAGTTTGTAGCTCCCAGAGTCTTCTTTTCTATTCTCTTTAAACATAGGAGTGATGTTTTCCTTTTCCCAGTTATTGGTGATTTCATTCAACCAACACCACTTTCCAAGTACAATGCAGAGTGGCTTGGCAAGATCAGCCAGCTCCCTCAGCACCCTTGGCATGCATGCCTGAGCTTGTGATAAGTTGGTTCATGAAATCGCCACATGCTTTATTAAAACAGTTTGTAACACCTTCATGTATCTAAGGGGGGAGGGGAAGGGCACTGCAAACGTGCAGAGAAGACTCCTGCCTCCCCGTAACCACGCCTACCAAAGGTCGTCATAGCAACCGCAAAAGACCACCAATAACAGCACAACGCAGACCAATCAGGATCTCTGGAAACTTCTAGAAACACCACGTCAGAGAGGGTATAAAAAGGGGAGCTCAGGCTACGTGCCGCGCCGTTTCTAGATGTTGGTGGGTGCAACCCACCTGGCTGGTGTCCTAGGTGCGGCAGGCCACCCGCCTAGCCCGTCCAGCGCTGCTTTTGACTAGTATCTGGTTAGTATCTGTTCTGTTTGTTAATATTTTAATTAATAAATTGTTAATTGGCTTCTAACCTCCGATTGGCTCTTGAGGATCAATTTATCACAAGCTGAGTGGAGAAATATTACTATCACTACAATTTGAGAACTGATATCTTGTGGACTTGAAAAGGACTTCGCCTATGCATAGTATTTGAACAGACATGTGCGCAATTGAAGAATCTTTGGCCACCAAAAGACATTAAAACCAAAAAGAACAAAACAGAGATGATAAACCATTACTGTTCATGACATATTTAAAGCTCTGCTAAAATCTGGAACTATTTCAAAAAGCAAACATCCCTCACTGAGAATACTGCAAATAGCAATCAAAATCGAACTGATTATTGAACAAAATGTAGGGGGGAAAAAATAGTATTACCATTCCTCAATAACTACATTCAACACTATCACCACAAACRGACTTTCCTACCTTTCCATTTGAAAAGAATGAGAAGGGAGTGTCTTTACAAACAGACTGATTCTGGGGGTAAGATTAGGCTGATACTGGGAGATAGAAGGAAACAATGGGAAGGATTTCCATAGGAATTCCTTTGATTGACTTATCTCAGACTATGTTAATAGACTACAAGAGCAGAGATACAGAGATGTATATTGAAAGGGGGCAATGTATGAGGGGGCAATGTAAGGGGGGTTTCATCAGGCATTTCGGGGAGCCTGTACCTCTCAAGTACCTCAGCCAATGGGGAAAGAGAGAGGGAACTGCAGCCGGGAAATCAGGATAAAAAGAGGCTGCATCCTCTATGAATTTGAGAGACCCCATGGAAAATGCCCATGACCTCTCCCTTTATTCATGAATAAAGTTGCGGGACTCCTCTGTCTCCTTTTTGGACATAAACCTCAGGTGCTTGTGGATTAATTTTCCTAACACATTCAAGCCCTTATACTCCCAACCCTGGCATAGCTCCTGCACTCAGAACTTGCTGTAAGCCAATTTAACTACGGTAGCAGAAAGTTAAAAGCAGCAAAAAAGTAGTTTCCTGTGTGTCACTGAAATTAATTTGCTTGTATAAGGGCCTTAAGAACAGACCAAGAAAAGGTATAAGCAGGAGAAACAGTAGCAAGACTTTCCCCCTCTCAGTAGAGAAAAGATTAACTCTGCACTGCTTGTGAAACCTGGTTATTGGTGGATACAACTGAATATTCTCCACCTATCCAGCTCAACAAAAGCAGAAATAGTTTGTTTCAGACTCTAAATGCTACCTCAAATTGAAAAATTTAATTACATGAGACAATAAAGTTTGGTATTGTTGGAGGTTAGGGCTTTTCCCTTTTTTTCTTAACGTCTTAGGGAATTTTTCCCCATTTTGCTGCTAAGCAACACTAGCAACCAGGGACTTAAGAGAGACAAAAGAAGTTACCAGGCTCAGGAGAGGAGGGCTCCTCGCTGCACTTCTCTTATCTGAGGGACTCTCTGAGAAGAGCAGAGATATCGAGAGAATTGGGCTGGGAAAAGGAGGGCTGGGACAGCTGCTAGCCCTCTTGCCCTCTCCGCTTTGGAGGAGGACACTGGAGCTGCTGCCTGGGGGGAGGTATTTGCTGCAGCTGCCAGGGTCCAGCGTCCTGCTCTTCTCCAGCCATGAGTGAGCCTTTGCCCATAAGAGTGGCCACTGCATTGGGACATTATTAACACCCGACCTCACCAAAGGACCCGTCATCATCTGCTCGGGTGCCTCAACGGAAATGCCGGGATTCCCGAGTCCCCTCCCCATACAAGGGAGTCTCTCTCAGTCGTGTTCGGGAGCCGAGTAGCCACTGCCCAGCCCCCGCTTTTTCTCTGCCACTGCTCCGAGGTTTCTTTGCGTTGCCTGGATGCCCCGCAGTCCCACCCGCAGCTGTGAGTTTCTAATACATCATCCACCACTCCGGGACTTTGCCACCCCAGCTTGCTACTCCGAGGTTCCTGCTACAGCTGCTTTAGCTATCCAGAGAAGCCACCAGGATCGACGCCCCCAGTGAGACTGCAAAACAAGCCCCTTCTCCATTTTTTTCCCGCCGCTGGCGCCTGCCATTACCACGGGAGAGAACTGGGCTCGCGCCACAGCGCCCCCTGCAGGAGCAGGAATCACGGCGCCCGCCCCGCCCGGGACCCACCAGCGCCCCTGCTGGCTGTGACCGTAACTGCACCAAAGCGGAGGGCGGGACAGCCCAAGGGATCCTGTCACTGGGTTTCTGGTTTGTTGTTGCTGCCATTATTGTTGTTTGTTTGCCTTGTTATACATACAAGTAAAGAACTGTTATTCCTTTTCCCATATCTTTGCCTGAAAGCCCTATGATTTCAAAGTTACAATAATTCGGTGGGAAGGGGAGTCATTCTCCATTCCAAGGGAGATTCCAACCTTCTTCAGCAGACACCTGTCTTTCAAACTGGGACAGCGATAAATCTAATGTTTGTGGAAAGCACAAGCTCAGTTTTTTTCACATTTGAATTGAGTTGACAAAAAATCTCTCAAATACTTTAAATATTAAACCACTGAAGACATGTTTTCCACCAAAAAATCCAGTTGTCTAAATGTAATGTTAATTCAAAACTTACAAGAAATAGCAGCAGCCAAAAATTCAAACTCCCAACTACCAAGACATTATAGAAGTTCTTAAAAATGTAAAATTCAATGGATTAAGGATAGGGTTTTTCCTGCTTTTGCCACTACCACAGCAAAGGTTTATGTAAAACACTGGAAACCGATAAAAACTATTTTACTACGCTTCAGGAAAATGAAACAGGTATGTAACTTGAGAGTTTAGCTTCAAATTATGATTAAACTACAGGCACAAAAATATCAAATTCTGACAAGTCAGAAGGCAGACTCACTATAGCTTTCTTACTCAAAATAATTAGCCTTAACTCCTAATGACTCACTGTTTTTTCCTATATTTTGCATACTCAGATAAAACAATAGCAAGGCTACGTCAACATGCCTGACTGCCATAATGTAATCTTTTTTTCAGAGTAGCATAACACTACACTGCTTCCTACCTGATGACAGCACACAGGTAAAGCAAGTAAAATGCCCTGCAACAGGAAGTATTTCCAGTTGTAGCCCACTATCACTCTGTTGCATATAAACTGTATCAGACAGGTATGCAGCACAGAAAGGAAAAGGACTCAAAGAGCTGATATGGGT